ATCTTCCCTAGGTTGTTCATAGTATGCACAGGTAGGTAGCATTTTGGGTAATGGAAGTAGCATTTATACTTCTTGTGATGCAGGATGAGGTGAAGACCTTCACTAGGTCTGTGGGCTGAGCACCAGGAGTTCTGAAGCCTTTGGTCTTAGCATATGTGGTCTTGCAGCATGTGGCATTGGTAGAAATGTCCCATAAATTAGGGTGGGTGATTGTGTGGTGGTGGTGGTGCATACCTTTAATCCCAGCACTCGGGAGGCAGAGGCAGGTGTATCTCTGTTAGTTTGAGGCTGCCCTGGCCTACATAGCAAGTTCCAGGACAGGCTCCAAAGCTACACAGAGGAACCCTGTCTTGAAAAAACAACAAAAAAAGTCAGGATGGGGAAGATGTGGTGATGATGAATCTTATGGCATTAGTAGTCTCAATCTGGGGCATGAATGATATGAATGGGCTCTTTCTGTAGTCTCCAGGGAGAACCAACAGGCACAGTCCCTATGCCATCAGTTAGGAAGGAAACCTTACCTATGCCCCACCAGTTAACAACGCAGGTATTGATCAGGGTGGAAGTCACTGAGAAATCTTGCAAGGGTGATTACAGTTTCAATGGCTTGGGCTAGGAAGAAGACATTCCTAGATACTTCCAGATGAACATGAGTGTTTGTGAGGCTTAGAGCCAAACTGCACCCATATTCCTGGAGTTGTCAAGAAGGTTTTCTGCTTTGGATGTCGAAGATCTGTTTAACTGACATCTCCCAACAAATGGTTCCAGTCCCAAGGCAATGAGCATTGCCTGAGAGATTCACAGAGGACTTCCTTGAGTTAGTAATATTCAAAATGCTGAAAAAAATGCATTGGATGTGTGTGTTCATGTATCTGGGGATATATACATGACAATACAGGAAGGTATCACTTTCTGGAAACTTAGATTACTGGTGGAAGAATCTGAAGCTAAGAAGGTAGACACTGGGAATTCTATGAAGAGTTCTAAGTGCTGATCTGAGTAATTAATATTGAACTCATTAGATAATGGAAATGTGTTATTTTAGATCTTTGGACATAATGGCATTATCATTTGTTTGTTTATAAAACATCAGCAAGATTATCGCCTTTTCCTGATATAGTCCTTTGGCAATTCAGTAAGATGCATGTTGGGTCAATAGTTCGTGATATTAAAGTGAGGCAAACATTTGTGAGAGGTAATATGGACTCATTTGTGTCCACAATACTGTGCCTGTAAGCACTGAAATATTTGGGACGTCCCCCTCTATTTTAAGTTAGACTAAAAGCTGCAGCGAACAAACCTATCCATATGTTTCTATTAGCTTAGATGAAAAAAAAAAAAAACAAAGCACAAAACCAAAACCAAAAAACAAAGGAAAGTGTTCTTTGTCATTTATCTAAATGAAATGAATTAGCAGTTTCTGTAAGATTCAACAAATTCAAAGGCAAATTTTATACAATATCTGCATGTAGTCTTAATGGATTTCTGAATGATGAGACTACAAATATGGTGTCTCCCCAAATATGGTGTCTCCCCAAAACATGTAATCTATTTCTAGAACGAGATGATGGAGCCAAAGGATGTGGTTGTTTATATCTCTAAACAAAAAGATTGGATTATTGAATTTAAATTTCATATCAAGTTACAAAAGCAAATTCTCATTTGAAGAGTTTTTAAAGGCAAATAAACCCATTGGTGTTACCAAACACAGAATTGTGTGTATTGCATTGATGACTTAACAATTAACATTCTGGATTAGCTTCTGAATTCTCTGTTAATTAACAACATACTCCAAGTACTGGTCTGGTAATTTATTCTAACTTCCTTCTGAGTAGATATGAAACCCAGTAAGATATCAGGTTTGGCCAACCTCACCAGGGGAAGTGAAGAAAGGTTCCCATGACTTCAAAGAATCAACAGTGCCCTCTAAAGGAAGCTCACATGATGTGCATTCAATATCCAGGTTTAATTCAGTCACAATGCTTCTTTAGTTGTAATTTATGACATGGATTTGAAATTACGAAAGTAATTCAAGGTAATTCTTATCATGGATACCAAGGAGCTGTCAATAGCAACCTTGAATCTCATGGTAGAGCCTTTTTTAACTCTACTTACTTCTGTTCAGTAAGAACTACCCCGGGGGAACGTGGTTTCTGAGTAGAAAATTAGACAGCCCAATTGATGAACCATGAGAAACAGCAAGTCCCCATACATATGTTGGGAAACTGTGCTTCTCTGAAGGGTAAATGTGTGGAATCAAGTGCTGAGAAAGCCTTGTCAGCTTTTGTCCAGGGCAAACTGAACAACTGTATCCTGGGAAAACAGTAAAAACTGCTGACTTAGAATGGGGCAGCACAAGACTGACTACACATGAAAACCGAAAGATAAAAGTGATGTGAAACATTTATGGGCGTGTCCATCTGTCTAATGCTGTAGTTTATTCTTGTGTTTTCTTCATCCATCCTGATGCGCAGAGGGCCATCTAAAACTTGTTTGATAATGTTGTAAGAAATATTAGGTAAAACAGGGTACGTACCTGAGAATAGTATTGCCGTAGAGGCATACATCAATGAATGAAGGTAAGTCATACATCAGTGAATGAAGGTAAGTCATACATCAATGAATGAAGGTAAGTCATATATCAGTGAATGAAGACGTTAGTGCTAGAAATAAATGGCTGCAGCAGTTAGTGTCACAGTGAGATGGAAAGGAATAAAAATCATTTTGTTTCTTCTGTAGCAAATCCATACACATGGAACACTTTGAGCATTCTTAAGACTTGTCCTTGGAGTTGAAGTCTAGGGTCTTGGAAGATGGCTCAGAGAGTAAAGCATTTACATCTTAAGAACCTGAGTTAAGATCCTCAGAGTTCATATAAAGCCAGATGCCCTAGCACACACCTGTAATCCAGACACCCTTGCATGGGATGGGAGATGGAGACAGGAGAGTCCTTGGGAGCTCACAGCCCAGCTAGCCTAGCCTAGCATATGCAACAATAAAAAAGATACTCTGTCTCAAGCAAGAGTGAAGATGAGCATCAATATACTATCCTATGCATGTACCTGCATTCACTCACACAAACATGCACTCATGTGTACACACACATGAGCATAGACAAGATTTTTAATATGATTAAACTATACTTAATATAATTAAATCTGGATTTACTAAGCAATCGAAAGAAGAAGTTAGCTTGATGCTTGGTGCACACACTTCTGTTGTGCTCAGCATCTTTCCCTGCACAGTCCCTTGTGAGGTCAACAGAGCAATTTCCAACAGCAGAGCAAGAAAATCTTCACCTGGGGCCCCAAAGAGGATTATGTGGGAAGATTAACTTTCTAGTCATTATCTTCTTTCCGAAGGAAGAATGTTAAATCACTCAGAGCTATATTAGGTTAATATTAATGGAAACAAAAATCTTGTTCCCCGGATTTGGGGACAATCAAGGTTATAGGGAACATCTCAGCAGAAGCAGCTGCTGTTGGTAAAGCAAGCTGGTCACTGCATCACCATAATTAGATGCAACATGTTGTTCTGAAGAAAACCAAGAGTTGAGGCGAAGAGAGTCATTTTTAGCAGCCTCCTCCAAATAAGAACAAAGCTAAAAGGCATGTCAACAGAGCAGCAGGGACAGGGGAGTTGCTGAGAGTGGAGGGCCCTGATACCTCATGAACTCACATCAATCGCAACCCTCCTGGGATGCATCTTGACCATCACAAGCTAGAATTAAAGGGCACTTTAAATTTTCGTTTAGGTTTTCCTTCCATCTCTTCATAGGAAAGACAGACCCCAGACAGTAAGCGTTCTTAAATCTCCTGGGTGGCATGTGTCACTAACCCCCTCATCCTGTCATCTAGGTTTTTAAGTAAGAGCCTACTTGAAGTAGATGCCAAAGACATGCTTCTGAGGAGTCTGTCACCACTGTAACCAGTCACTTGGCTACTTGGACAACTAATGTACCTTAGTTCTCTCCATGAGTAGCGGGACATATGCAGCCTTCCATTGGCAATAGAGTTATTGAGACCATATTAAATGAACATAAATCTCTTCCTGAATTAAAATCCTGCTCAGAAGAAAAACTAATGCATGTTGATGGAATTTGCGATAACACAGGGCACTCTAGAATTCACAAGCAAGTAGCCTGGGCGGTTTAGGACCTCAGTGTAACTCTGTCAGAGAAGCCATCTATCTGCCTTTGTCATTTAATACGTGTACCTTCACAGTGACACTACTGTCCCAGTCCAGTTTTGCCTGTCCTATGAGGTATGCTTACACAGCACTGTCTATCATCCATGTGAGAGCACCTACATGGCAGCGTAGGTATCTCTACGGGGCTGGCTGGGTGGTCTCACTAGCCTCACATGGCTGGTAGGGAAGCGAAAGGAAAGGTAAACACTGGGCCAGAGGACACTCCACCAGCTGAAGTTCCCAGCCTTTCTTTGTGTCACTTATCCTTATGGCCCTTTGGTCCTTATGACCCTTTGTCATGTATCAAGGGACAGTCTAGTAAAACAACAACACACCAGGCTGACAATTAAATATTTCCCTGGCATCTTTTTCGAAGGTCTTCTTGGAGATAATATCTTCAGGTGGTCACCGATTTGGTGAAAGTTTTAGGCTAGCAAGGATAGGGTCTTCTTGTGGCTTTTAGGAATGTTGCAAAGCAGTGGGTAAACGCACAGCTTTTGAAGTGCCCCCAGTCTATGGCTATGCCATCCTGAAGGTGTCGGGTCTTGTCTATAATGCCTCCTACAGCATATTATGGGTATTCAGAAATACACCCAGAGAGTCATTTTGCCGTGTGAGAAAACTGTCCAAGATAACTCTCCCTGCTCTCTGGAGAGGACAGAGGTAGAACTGGGTCTTGGATACTATATCAATCAGCTAACGAAAAGAACTTATGGGAAGCGCCCTGGCAGATCTTTCGGTTATCCGACTATGGGGTATCTCTTGTGATCAAAGGAGCAAGTGGTCTCAGGAATTTCACTTCTGGATTTTAGGGACATTTTGGGGACCAGAACAGGAGGAACCACAGAGAGGGCTGGAGGTACTGCAAGAGAAGACAGATTGAAAAAAAGTCAACAGTCTGGGAGACAGCTTCGTCAGTAAAGGGACATGCCGCGCATGCCTAAGGAGCAGAGTTTGGATCCCCAGCACCCAGGTAACAGGGTAGGACAATGCTGGCCTGTAATTCCAGCACTGCAGGGACAGAAGGTCTACAGAACTCCATGCCCCCAGTCTAGCTCGATAGTGAGCTTTGGATTGGGTGACACCCTGCCTCAAAAACTAAAGGTGGAGGCGCACAAAAGGTGGATGGGCAGGAGGTCAGGGAGGACCTGGGAGGAGAGGGAGGGACAGGAAGTATGGTCAGACTATATCTGTAAATTTTCAATTAAAAGTAATAAAAATAAAGGTGGACTGTGCTAAACAAGGAGGAGAAGAGCAGTGCTTGGTCTGGAAAGGAAGCGGATGGATTCCTTCCATGTGTGGGGTTTATTATAACGGGAGAGTCTCAAGCCTTAGCCTAGCCCTGAAGTTGGGCATTGGACAGAAGCAGTACAATGCATGGTACAATGCATGGAGATTTAAACATGATGGGGCCTTCTAAGAAAGGAGGGGCTTTCCTGTAAAACCTGGAGAGAAGCTTAAGCATGAGAAGGAGCGGGTAAGAGAGAGACACAGCTACCTGAGAGGGAGCTCAGATAAGCCTCAGAAGGGAGTGGGCTTATCTGAGCCAGGCATCATTAACTGAGAGCTGTCAGGTCACTGAATAGAAAGAGTCTTAGCTCTCTGCTGGGGGCCAGGAATGGAGGTGGGGCATGGCCTGATTCAAGCTGTGAGGTCTGACCTAAGGGTGCAGGCCTATGTTCTAATAGAAGATGATAGAGGGCGACATATATATATGTATATACATATATATATATATATATGTATATATATATGTGCTGCACCAGTATGATGATGCACACACACAGACACGCATGTACAACCCCCCACCACACACACACAAAGAGAATCCATAGTCACTAAGAGTCTACTGACATGAGCCTCTGCACCAAGCATCCATGGTTAAGACCAGCTCCAGATCTTCTGATAACCAGAAAGAAATCACAACCTGAAAATTACTTCTAGTCTTACCCATTTCAGGATCAATCTCTGGGGGCAGAGAAACAACCCATATACAAGTTCTCTCTTTTGTAGATGCAAAGCTCATGGGTACAACTAGAAAATAATGAAGCAAAGAAAAGTTCATTGCTTTCAGCAAGCGAGCACTGGATATAATCGCAAAACAGTGCACATCCCTGAACAGAGAAGACTAGGGGCTGTAGCCAGGTACAGTCACAGATATTCATGCAGGAAATCCCATCATGACATGCAAATGCGGGCTCATTCCTTACCATGCTGTGAGGTCACACATTGCGTGTTCGAAGAATTGGCAGATTTGGATGTCCAGCAGGTACAGAATTGACTGTTTTAACGAGCAAAGTTTATTCTAGGTCACCTAATAGGAGGGATTTCAGCTGGCCCCTTGTACAATTCTCTGGAGATCCTTATTGAAAGAAAATGAAAACATCAAAACCTGCTGGATGTCACTAGTGAAGGGCAGCATCACTTGAGTGACAGGTGATGCAAACATGTCTCCAGTTGCTTCTGCTGGCTATGAACTGTCACTACTACCTTTGGAACGATTTGAGGAAAGAAAGTTGATGATTCCTGAGAGGAGTTTGAACATCCTGGATTCTGATGGGTGACTATGGAAGTCACTCCACAGACAGAGTGTCTGTCCAGGAGACCGAATGTTATCCTGAGCACAAAAGCCTAGAAACCTGAGAATGATATTCAGACAGAGAATCCATTGTGACCTTGGGATATGGAGGACATCTTCCTTCCATTTGGGATTACAGGGAATCCCAAATACAGTTTCTGACTGCTGGGTGGACAACTCCTGCGTTCCACATTTGGAGTGGCAGCAACTTTCTTGCTGGGCCTCATGTCCTGCATTGTAGCTGTGGTGATGTATTCCTGGAGTCAGGTGGCCTGCATTGGCAGAGGGGTAGTTCAGTCCTCCAGTGTTCTGGAAACCATTTCTATTAGCCCACTCTACAGAGTCCTCCAGTTCTGTCTTCACAAGCTCCAGGGTCACTTTATCAAATTCTTTCTGTGTCAAGTATCAAGAATGGATTCTGTTTCACACACCAAACTCCATCATGAAACAGAGTACCAAGACAAATGGGAGGCCTGTCGTAAATGAATCTCATAGATGCTTTCACTTCCCTCACAAATGAAATCGAGACAAACGAACAAATTACTAAAAGAGGAGAATGTGAGTGCAATCGTTGTCTATAACACTAAATAACAAGAGAACTGGATTGGTTCAAGTTTGGGAAGTGATGCATGTTTCTAAGATTCATAATCCATAATTACACAATACGGACTCACAGGGGCTTGCAATAAAGAAATGTGTTTAGTGTTGTTTACCCTACAGTTTGCCAAATTGCTTCAGAATCGCAGTCAGTATTTGACAAATGTTAGTCTATTTAGCTTTGAGGAAGAAAGATACTGTCTATATAACTTACTAAGAAAATACATGAGACATCACAAACAAGCTATTAAAAATTTAAAAGAGAAGACAATATAGAATAAAATTTTATAAGCAATAAAGCCAATACAGTTCTGTTGACAGAAGTTTCTGTAACACCCAGTGCCACAACCACTTAGTCCCAAATAAACATGCAGAGGCTTATGTTAATTATAAACTGTTTGGCCAATGACTCAGACTTCTTATTGGCTAGTTCTTTCTTAATTATTAACCCATTTCTATTAATCTGTGTATCTCCACGTGGTCTTGGCTTACTGGTGATTCCTGTGGTTTCTTGCTTTCTCAGTAGCTACATGGTGTCTCTTTGGTTCTGCCTATTACTTTTCTCTATCCCTGTGCATATTCCCCACCTGGCTAAATCCTGCCTGCTAATTGGCTGAAACATCTTTATTCATCAACCAATAAGAGAAACACATATTCACAGCATACAGAAGGACAGCCCCCATAATCTCCTCTTTTTCTGTCTAAATAAAAACACAGTAAAATTATATATAATAAAACAGTTACCAAAGAATTATAGTTAACAATATTTAATTCACTAACATTTGGCAAAATTTAGAGAAAATATTCTATCGTTTATCCTGTCTTTGTGATTACAACTAAGGAAAACCATAACCATAACTATCTGTCTTCAACTCCATCAAAGACCCCAGAAGGATAATATATAAACTCTAGAATTGATAGAGACAACTCGCTGCCTGGAAAGTCATACAAAGTTCCTATGTAATGTTGGGGCATCCCTCTTTAGCCTATGGGTCCAGAATGTCTGGCAGACTTTTTGATGAAGCAGGAAATTTGAAGGACCATCCTGTCCTTTGGAAAATTCAGCAGTCACTTTTCTCTGTAACCTGCTTGTCTAGTTTGGACAGCATGCTTTCAATAAGTGCAGGCAAGAGCAGTTTCTTGTCTAAATGGCTATCCCTGCCATGTTGAAAGCAAACTTATCTTTCTCTCTCACATAATTGGTGTTGTCAGGAGCAGTTATCATGAAAAACCCTAATAAACCATTTTAAATTTTGTATTCTGTAGGTCTTTGAAAGGTTTTGAAGAATACCTACCCATTTGAAATATATCTGTATATTTAGAAAACCTAACTAACATAAGTTTTGACTATTATAAGTGACTATCTATAATCAGTATTTAATTGCACATTACATTTTAATGAGCTATATAAACAAAATACCTAAACAAGAGGAGAAATATACGTATAAAAATTGACCTTAAATTTGTATCAATAAACCAAAATCCTTACCAATGCAAAGTATTCATTTCTATATCATATTCCCTTTTTTCATTTAGAAAGTGATTGACTGTCATTATTAACCATTTATAACCAACCCTGTTTAAATGAAACAAACATTTATAAACAATATTTGCGAATTTGGGTGTAGTTTTCTCCAAACTGCTTCCTGCTGTTTGGGGGCACTGTCAATCCCAAGGGGATTCTGCAAAAACCCAGAACCATGACAAAATCTTGGCTGTAGTAGTCTGAGGCTGCATTGTCTCAGCTGTTTTGGATGTCACATCACCTGGGTAACTGCTTTAGGTAGTCTTGTTTGATCAAACCATGCTAGTATGGAAGGAATCCACAGCTTTTCACCTTCTGTGGAAACAAAAGCAGAACCTCTTTTCCAAAGTAGCATGTCCTTAGGCTTAAAATTTGAAGTCAAGGCAACATTTATAATCAAATGTCGTTAGCAGCTGTTGCTCCTTCCTCAGGAATCAAACAATGCAAATTCAGCACAATAACATACAGTATACCAGACTCTCTGTGTATTTTTGACTGTCCTGTAAATCATTCTGTAGACCACACTGGCTTTGAAATCACAGAAATCCACCTGCCTCTGCCTCCAGAGTGCTGGGATTAAAGGCATGCACCACCACTGTCCAGATTTTTTAAGGGTTTTCTCAATCCTTTTTCTTTTCTTTCCCAAGCCTACATATATTTTTTAACACACTGTAAACCATTTAGAGGGGTTTCCCCTCTGAATCTGTCTTTACTGTATATCTCTTTTTCTGACTACATGAGTCTTTATTCTGTTAAGCATGGTTAGGATTAAAACAAAGGGTTTTTTCTGCTGGCTCCAGGATTTCCAATAAAGTGGGTGTTTACCTCCAGCTCTGTCAGTAAAAATAAAATAGAAAATTAGCAATGCACAAAACAGTACACTAAAAGCTAAAATTGATCAGAAATATCAAGTAACTCTAACCCTCTAGTCAAAGACAGAGTTTAAACCAGAGTTTCAGGGGTTACACTGCATCCGATGCTTCCTGTATACCATCTTGCATCCCCTTCCTTTAGCCTGCCCTCAGCCACCTTCTCTGTGGCATGTCCTTCCATGTAGACTACAGTCTGTTTCTGTAGGTAGCAGCTCACCCGAGTGGTGAATAGTACTCAGTGCTCACACTCTCTCAACCTAGAAGAGCGAGAAAACTAACAACCTCAACCAATTAGGATGATGATCAGTGGAGAGAATACTTCCCTTTGACAATTTCAAAAACATTTAGTACTATCTTTGGAGTATCCCCACGACACCAAGAACCATGTAATCCCAACGAATATCAATTCACCAATGAAGGAATGTGTTGAGCTCTCTTTTTCCATTTATTCTCCATGGTATCTCATCCATGCTTGCTGGAAACCCTTCCACAAGGTTCTGTATTGAGCTCACTTTTTCTATGTTCCAGAAACATCAATTAAGTCAATATGGTCCTAGAAAGCTGACCCTCTGAGTCTGTCTAGAACTTAATTCTGGAGTCAAATGGCAATGAGTACCTTAGTGTGGAGAAATGAACCTATTCCAGTAACTGAAAGAGGACAGTGAACATTGCTGCAGAAGGCTAGCTTTCTGAACCTGAAAATATTTAACAGAAGAGTAGCACCAATGCAGAACAGGGTGTAAGAGAGAATGCAAATGGTTTTATGTTCTGATAGCACGGACATTATAAAATGAATACAGCTGGGAAGAGAAGAAATTCACAGCCTCATCTGTGAAGTTTAAAGTTGAAAGACATCATTTAAAATTGATGAGCCAAGAAGCAGAAACATATAATATTTAATAATACAAAGAATAAGAAAGATAATGCCAACCACAGTCTTTTGTTGGTGTAGAGTGCACAGGGAAAGGAATCATGGTAATTGTTAATGCCCTGGTTATGGAACTATATAAACACTATTTAAAGGAATAGAGGGGGAAAAAAGTAAGCCTTTCTTAATAGCAAAAGGTATATATATATATATAGGCTAAGAAAATTCCATATAATGGAAAAATATTTTTCTAAACTGCTGACACCAGAGTATATAAAACAACAGTGTAGAACAAAAATCAAATTTACCCAAATAGCATAAATGTCAAGTAACTTAATTTATACATTGAAAGTGGTTTTGAGGCTGGATCACTAAACAAGGCTAAAAATAAATGGGATGCAAATCTACTTGACAACAAACACAGGATCGAGATCTTAATAGGAAAGGTGAAATTCAATCCTCAAAGAATAAATGATCCATAAAAATAAAGATATTCTTAAAGCTAATGGCCCAATTCACAGTGAGGATACAATTATAAATCTTTTATGCATCAAATAACACTTCAGCATATTGTATAAAGTAAAAATTACTGTAGTCACAATAGAAATGGAAACCACTCTTATTAATACAATCCACCACATTAGTCCTGAGTGAACAAGTACATAATTGTATTGCTAGTCACAAAAAAAAGCACTTGAAAAACAACTGGACAACTGCTCTTAAAAATCTTAAGTAAAATGAGAAAATATATGTATCTATATAACATGAGGAAAATTGAATCTATCTCAGCCCCAAAGTCAGAGCCACATTTAAAGAGAAAACAATTCATGCACCCCCAAACTATGCATGATTCGGTTACTGACAGCATTGTTTCAAGTTGCTGGGGGAAGAAGCTAATGCAGTCACCAAGAAAAGTGAAAGCAACTCAGTCTACCACAAGACCCAGCAATTCCACTCTTGGGCATATACCCAAAAGATGCCCATTCACACAACAAAGATGTCTGTTCAACTATGTTCATAGCAGCATTATATGTAATAGCCAGACCCTGGAAGCAACCTAGATGCCCCATAACTGAAGAGTGGATAGAGAAAATGTGGTACATTTACACAATGGAGTACTACTTAGCGGAAAAAAAAACAATGGAATCTTGAAATTTGAAATTTGCAGGCAAATGGAAGACACTAGAAGAAACCATCCTGAGTGATGTAACCCAGTCACAAAAAGACAAATATGGTATGTACTCATTCATATATAGATTTAGACACAGAGCAAGGGAGTGCCAGCCTACAATCCCAGTGCCAGTGAGTCTGGGAAACAGGGAGGTTCCCAAGAGAGATGCATGATACCCCAGAGAAGTGGAATGAGGCAAGATCTCCTGAGCAGATTGGGAACATCGGGGGAGGGGAGAGACCAGGAAAAAGAGAGGGGGATAAGAGGAGGAGAGAAGAAGGAAGGTTGAGTTGAAGTAAGAATAGAGGAGAGCAGGATGAGAGATACCATAATAGATGGAGTCATTATAGGTTTGAGGAGATAGCTGACACTAGTGAGATTTCCAGAGATCTACAAGGATAATACCAACTGGCAAACTAAGCAATAGTGGAAAGACTACATTAATAGCCCCTCCTTGATGATAAGTTTGATGACTACCTTATAAGTCATCCTAGAACCTTTATTCAGTGACTGATGGAAGTAGAGACGGATACCCACAGCTAAACACTGAACTGAACTGCTGGAACCCAGTGACAGAGATGGAGGAGTGATGAGCAAAGGGGTCAAGACCATGTTGGTGAAACCCACAAAGACAATTGACTGGACAAGGGGGATCTCTTGAACCCCAAACTGATGGCTGAGAGGCCAACAGGGGACTGATCCAGACTTCATGAATGCATTGTCAGTGAGGAAATCTCTGGGGCCTTGTGTAGGAGATCAGTGTTTACCATGGCATACAAATGAACTTTGGGAGCCCATTCCACATGGAGGGATGCTCTCTCAGCCTGGACACATGGGGAAGGGCCCTGGATGAAATGATAGACTCTGGAGATCCCACCAAGGAGGGCCTCACCCTCCCTGGGAAATGATATGGGCATTGGGTGGAGGGCTGGAGAGGGGGCTGGTGGAAGGACAAGGGAGGAAGGGGTGGGAG